CCACCCTGCGCTGTGGGTGGGTGGGAGGGTGGGGAGGGCCAGCTGGGGCCTGTCCCTATTTCCTGACACTTTTGAAGCCCTAGCTTGAGCTCACGCTGCCTAGGGCAGAAACCCAAGGCGGCAGGTGCCCTGTTCTGTTTTCCAGGCGAGGAAACTGAGGCTCTGGAAACCTAAGACCCTTGCCCAAGATCATGCATTCATGATGCTGACTCAGAACCTGGTAGCCAGGGTTCCAGGGTATCCCCACCCCTCCTGCTTATCCTGGTACAGGCCACACCCAAGGGGGCATCGGGGATGAACTTTCAGAGGTGGCTGGGGCCCAGCTTCAGCGCTCCCTCTTGCTGTGTGACATAGTGGGGCCAACTGACCTTTCTGGTCCTCAGTTTCTGCAATTTATGAATTGGGGCTGGCGACACAGACCACGGTCCAGCCTAGGCCCAGATGTCAAAACACCTGCATTTTCGAGTCTGTGTCGCCAGCCTACCCAAAGTGACATCAGACGAGTCTGAAGACTTCTGCTCCTGAGAACCACTTCCTGCTTACTGGCCTGAGAGGTTCCTTCTTTGGCCGATGACTTGTTTGTTTCTTTTGCTTATCTTTCCCTGTGGCTGTTTATGGCTTCCCTATGGATTCTGGAAGCCTCTGCTGCCGTGTTAACCCTTTGTCTGGCATTTCCGGTGGGCCACCTGTTTGGACTTTGCATGTGGCATGTGGGTGTCTGTCTTTCTTTGGTCAGTGAGTCCGTATTCACTGAAGGACCACTGTGTGCGGCACAGTGGAGAACCATGTGGACCACCTCCCCCTGGAGCCCACCTTCAGGTCGGGGACAAACAAGACATAAAGAAAGAAATTCTAGAATATGGGAGAGAAGAGTAGCTGCTAAAACCTCAGGAAGGGGAGGGGTGGAAGAAGTGATAAGAGGGATGTTACTTTATTTCTTAAGAAGAATGTAATTTCTTAAATTGAAATAAGGATAGCATTTGAGCAGAGACAAATTGAAATGGCACGCCATAGGGCTGGGGGTGTAGCTCCGTGGTGGAGCGCTTGCCTCGCATGTGTAAGGCCCTGGATTCCATCCCCAGCACTGCAAAAATAAATAAATGTGTTTTGGTTTTGGTACCAAGGATCGAACTTGGGTCCTTGTGCTTGTGAGGCAGGCGGCGGCACCACTGAGCTAAAACCCTGGCCCAAAATCAAGCAAAATTTTAAAAGTAGCAAACCCTGCTCCCCAGGAGCTGGGAGAGAAGCATTCCAGGCTTGGGAACAGCTTGTGCAAAGGCCCCGTGGCAGGAGCTGCTGGCCTTGTGAGTTGGGGAAGGCCAGTATAGCTGATGTAGCTGGAGGGGTGCGCAGCCAGGTAGGGAATTTGACCCAGCAGAGACAGAGGATACATGTGACTGAGCCCTACAAAAAGTCTGCAGCCTGCTCAGGCGACAGACAGTAGAGAGGTGGCTTTGCTAGTGGGAAGGCATTTTCCTTTTTAAGTTTCTTGCAGTGATTTTATATTTTTGTTGAAAAGAATCCACATTTTGTTTTGCCAGTTCTTCCGTAGCTCAAACATCCTCATGCAGCTAAAGGTACAACCCTGGACCCTTGCCCTCCCCTGGCCCCAGTGACCTGGCCCCCCCACCCCTTTTCCTGCCCCTCCATGTTGGGCTCTGCTCACCATGAGGTCAGACCCCGCGCTGCTCCCCGCTGCAGCCCCCACCTGAAGCGCTTCCTGCCCCACCCCCTGGGGGGGCCAAACCACACACTCCTGTCTGCACCATGGGGCTGCTGGGGCGTGGGAACCGCCAGCTGCCTCCCCGCTCTGCCTGGCTCCTGACAGACACAGAAAGAGAAAGGCAGAGAGCCCTCAGGCCTCCCGATAAATCTGCACCCCGAATGCCAGTCACCCCTCCAGGACTTGTGTACTCTGCTCCCTAGGAGGTGGGCAGGAGGCAGGAGTGGGTGGTCCTATGGGACAGCGAGGAAACTGAGGCCCAGAGAGGTGGTGAGGCGTGGCTGGCAGATGGGGGGCACTGGAGTGAGGAAAGGGGAAGTGAGCAGAGCCCCCCGACAGCAGTTGGTGGTGGCCACAGGGCACCCAGTGTCTGCCCCTCCTCTGGGGTTTGCTGCAACATCCTTAGGTCTCTGTGGGAGGGGAGGATGTGATCCCAAGCAAGGTCTCCAGGACTCGAGGGGCAGAGACCCAGTCACAAGATGCAGTGGGCATGGAAGGGGGCAGGGAACGCGAGGGAGACCAGGACCAGGTCCTGGTGGGAACCTCTAGGAGGAGGAAAGGGGAGGGCGGGAACCAAAGCACTGTTGCACTTCCTCCTCCCCACGATGTGGCCATGTGCCTGCTCCCCTGGGGTTCAGAGCCCCTCTGAAGGACTGAAGGGGTGGCTGGACCAGGTACACACCCCTGATCATATGCCTGGCTGAGCCAGCTCCATGGTCCAGACCCCTCGAGGGCACAGGCACGGGGACTCCGAAGGCTGGCTCAGCCCAGATGGCCTTGCAGTCAGCCTGCCAGGGTCAGCCCCGCCTCTACCCCAGAAACGCCAGGACCTGGTGTCAGCTGCACCACTTACCAGCTGAGTGACCTCAGCAAAGTCGCTTCCCCTCTCTGGGCTTCCTCGTGTGCCGTCATCTGCAAAATAGATGACAAATAAGTTTCATCTCGAATGACTTCCTGGAGCACTGAGTTGAGGGGGATTCTGAGCTGCATCTTGGCTTAGTGAGTGCTAGGATTGATGTGATGTCTGCCACGCTGCCAGCTAGGAAGGAGTGGTCTGTGTGCCATTCCTTCTGCTTTCTTCTGCTCCAACTTGTCTCTGGGCTGGGTATCACGTGAAGTTAGAAGCCCTATTTCGAAGGGCCGCGGCACCCCTCCCAAGAGACCACAGAGCCTGTAGACTGATTTCTTACTGGGCCCATCTCTTCTATTCAGTACTTGGGGACAGCTCACTCCACAAAGGGTCGCCCTCAATCCTGAGGTCACATTTCCAGTAGCTCACAGCTGGTGGGAGAGAGGAGTGGACCACACTGCTAGAAGACAGGATAGGCAAGGCCTGTGTTGCTGGGGATGTAGCTCAGTGGTAGGGCACTTGCTTAGTATGTGTGAGTCCCAGAGTTCAGCCTCAAGCACTGCAAAGAAAGAACAAAAACACCTGCATTAAAAAAAGAGATAAAACACTGTTCCCTTCAGATTAAATTAAGTGGATACAAGTTCAGTGAGATCAGAAAATGCCTTATAAACTGGGTGTATCCCAGCACTTGGGAGGCAGAGGCAGGAGGTTCTCCATGAGTTCAAGGCCAGCCTGAGCTATACAGCCAGACCCTGTCTCACAAAAACAAACACAAAAGCCAAATCAAAACGAAGAAAGAGGCTTGTGCAGACAGTGACCTTGAGCCCATCTTCCAAGGGCAGATGTGGACGAGGAGTGAACAGTACAGGCAGGCTGGGGAGCAGTGTGGCAAAGGTACAGGCAGGAAAGGCAGGGCACAGTGTGAGGAACAACACATGGGGAACCCCCTGCACCCTCTCATCCTCCTGTGAGCATCACCCTCCACCCACAGCAGGGATGGAACCTGGCTTTGCCTGCTGCCCTGAGTGGGACGAGGGGCATTTCGGGGAACTTCTGAGAGGAAGTGCACTGGAGCTGAGCTGCAGGGCACCCTGCGCGGCTGTGGCACCTGCTTTGTGCTCGAGTGCAGAGAGCGCACGGGTACTGTGCCTCGGCTGCTCTTGAGTCGCCTCCACTCAGTCCACTCCTTCCTGCATCCATCCGCGCAAGTGTTCATGGGACATTGGCTCTGTGCTGGGACAGCTGAGGTGTCCAGGGTGGTGGGAAGGGGAGATGTAGGTGAGGTCACAGAGGCAGGGACAGAACAGATCGCACAGGGCCTGGCTGTGCTTCCACGCTGCACTGTGTAGTGTCATGCTGGTGCTGTGTAAACAAACAGTAAGGTGCAGACAAAGACAGGGCCTCTGGGAAGTCTCTCTGATCAGGCAACGCTTGAGCTGAGACCTGTGTCTCAGAACAAAAGTGCAAAGTCCATAAAAGTATCCAGGCAAGGGGCTAGGGATTTAGCTCAGTGGTGCCACCACCTGCCTCACAAGTGCAAGGACCTGAGTTTGATCCCGGGTACCCGCCCCCAAAAAAAAGTATCCAGGGAAAAGCAGTCTTGGAAATGGACTGGCATGTGCAAAGGCCCTGGGGTGATAACATGCCCATTCCAGGGTGGCTGGAGTGGACAAAGGGAGCAACACGAAAATGAGGTTGAAAGAGTAGGTGGGGACATATTCGATGGTCAGAAGTTACTCCCTGCAGAGCAGGAGCCACAGGGGCCTTGAGAGCCAAGGACACCCAGGATATGACCCAGGGCTGGGAAATGTGGCAGAGGGACCAGTGTGACAGTTGGATGTATCTCTGCCCGGAGCAGCCAGCCCCACTTCTGTTGAGAGCATTTGGGGGGGAGGGCGCTGGAAGGATTCCCCAGAGGCTCTGTCAGGCTGGGCCTCCAGAAGAAGGGCAGGGGGTAAAGACTGGTCCCCCTTCCAGGAGGCCCAGGGGCAGCGGTGCCTGTCTAGGGCAGGAGGACGTTCTCATTGCCTCAGAGGAAACGGAAATGCACATCCCACATCAAAAGGGCCCCGGGCGCTCCCACACTCGAGTCGTGGGAACTCTGCTCCCCGAGGTTCTCTGGGGGGTGGGGCTGCAGCTTGAGAAAGACGGGGCCACCTTGGGATGGCTCCCCTCTACCCAGGAGCCAGCCTGACATTTGCAACCAGGGTGCTGTAGTTTTTACGAGGGTCCAGGCGTTTTAAGGTAGCCAAGATCTCAAACATCCCTATCCCAGTGTCCTCCTGTCCAGCTCCCAGGAAGAGGCCCAGGGAATCCAAGGACTTGGAGCATCACATAGACTTCAGGGAGGAACCTGGCTTTGCTGATTGAAGAGGCTTCCTGGAGACCTGTGCTATAGATTCTGCTCAGCCTGAGGGTTCTGTAATGGATTAGTGATGTCTGCCACCAGTAGCAGGAGGGACAGCAGTAGTTCGTGTGCTAAATATTGTTTCTGTCCACCCATTTCACTGACAGTCCTGAGTAGAGGGAGGAATGTTTTCTTCTTGTGAGCCAGGAAGGAAGGAAGAGTGGTGGGGAGAACATGTGCTAATGATCCCGATCCGTGTCTGTCCGTGGGGACAGGGCAGGGAAGAGGAGGATCTGGAGGAAACAGTTTCTGTGCTGTCTTTCAAAGTATGGAAAGAGAAGTTAGGGCAGTGTCCTCCTCTACGAAGCCCTGGGAGATGTGACAGAGCTGGGGAGGGTCAGGTGGTCACTCAGTGCCCCCCCCAGCTGCAGGAGAAAGCCCTGCACCCCACTCTGAGCTTCACCTGTGTTACCTCATTTAAACCTTGCAAGACTCTCCCCATGACAGACGTGGAAACTGAGGCACAGACCTCCACTGCCTGGCACCCGCCCTCCTCGCCCACCTTCCTCTCACTGACGCCCCTCTTCCGGTGGCCTGGTCCCCAGTGTTGTCTCCAGGCACGGCCTTCCCTTGGCGGTTTGGGCCAGTGGTGGGAGTGGCTAAGCCTCTGGGGCGTGGAGGGCTGTTCGCCACACGCATGTGCAGTGTGACTCTGTGTCCCCGTGTGCAGCCAGCGGCCCCTTTAAGGCTTCACTGAGGCCAAGCGCCCATCTCTGGAGTGGGATGCTTTTCCTCTCGCTATGTAGCCCAGACTGGCCTCGAACTCATGGCAGTCCTCCTGCCTCAGCCTCCCAAGTTCTGGGATTACAGGTGTGCACCACCACACCTGGCTGTTTCCCTCTTGTTCCTCTGCATATCAGGCTGGGACAGTGTGGACATGTGTGCGTGTGTTACACACATGTGTAGTATGTTCCTCAAGGGTGTGTGAGCCCGAAGTGTGTATGAATGTGAATGTGTGAATGTGTGTGCATGTTTGTGTGGTGATCTTTCAGCACACACGCACACATACACACACACACACGTGTCTGCCTCTGTGTGTTTGTGGGCAAGAGGCGCTTCCTGGATGTGTGTGTATGTGTGTGTGTGTGTGTGTGGCATCTTCCCTGAGCATGTGTGTGTCAGTGTCCATACATGTGGGGAGTGGGTTCTGGGGCGTGTGCGGTGTGTATCTGCTGTGTGCTCCCTGGGAGAGAGTTGTTTCTGTGCGGTGTACAGCGTGTGTTTGCCTCTGCACGCGCCCGAACCTGGATCGGTGCGTGTGGTGTGTTCCCTGAGCTCGTGCACCGTGGTCTGCGGGCGTGCTGTGTCTGTGCTGCTGGACCCGCCACGAGGAGCGTCTGCTTGAAGAGGCCCCCCAGCCTGCTGCCCTGTGCCAACTGTGCCCACTGGGAACGGGGTGCCGAACTCTGAGACCTTCCAGACAGAGGCGGCTCCCTCACACCCCGCAGTGCTGTCCAGCCTCGGGCACCCCAGGCCCCGCTGCCACCCCCAGCGCTCAGAGCTGTCCTGTTCCAAGTCAACCCGGCCAGGTCTCCAAGGCGTCCAGGAGGAAGACGCCCTTCGCCCGCTCCTCCCTACCGGTGCCGAAGTCACAGAGGCTCGGGACACTAGCTTCAGTCCCCCCGGTGCCGTGCTACGGTCCTGCTTTGCAGAGAGGGAGACTGAGGGTCAGAGAGCTTGGTGACTTGCTGTGGCCCGCAATGCAACGCTTCAGTCGTCTCCTCTCTGAGACGCAAGTGGTCACGTAGGGGCCAGAGGCAGAGCAGGGGCAACACTGGGCCAGGGGCCCGGATGACAGCGATGGTGGTGGTGGTGGATTGGAAGTCTCTTAGGTGCTAGGGATTGTGCTCGACCTTGAGGTGGAGAATTTCACTGAATCTCCTCCACACACAAAAAGAAGGTACCGCGTCATCTCCGATCTACAGCGGGGGAACAGCGTAGGAGAGGCGTGGTGGTGGGCTGGGCGCCCCAGCCGGTTAGTGGTTGAGCTGAGACACAGAAGCAGCTTGGCCGCACCGATGAAGGCCTTTGGAAAAGCTGGATTTTACTCTTGCTCACTCTGTCCTTGGGCAGAACTCGTCAGAGCCTTTAATATGCTCACAAATGCTGTGAATCTCCGCGCGGGAGACAGCAAACTGTTTCCTGACTTCGATCCCTGAGCTCTTCTTTTCCAGTAGGTTTTATGATGATTAATGCTCCACACAGTAAATTGAGAGACGCTCAACCACCAAACCTCTGGTTTTAGGTACAGAGGCAAATGGAGCCAAAATGTTGTTCCTAAGGGGATATGGGGTATGGCGTTGGGTCCTGACCACACCCCATCCCATAACAGGGTGCCACAATAGGAATGGGGTTTCTAGATGACGGACCAAAGGGACAGGGATGTGGCGGGGCCTGGAGTCCAGCTGCGGCCTCTTCTCCTGTCCCTGCAGGGTTCCTGCGCTCCCGGTGAAGAACTTGAATGGTACCGGCCCGGTCCACCCGGCCCTGGCAGGTGAGGTCCGGCTCAGGACCAGAAAGAAAGGCTGGGCCCACAAGGAGGCAGCCCTGTCCATCAGGTTTTGACTACGCCCCAGGGCGAGGTGGTGGGCGGGGCCAGGGGGCACTTCCCCTACCTCGGGCTCCTTTGGCATCAACAGGGTAGAGTTGAGTGGCCGGGGAAGGAGGGTGTGACCAGACTACTCCGGAAGTAGGGCGGACCCAAGGAATCTCCACCAATGACGGAGGGCTGGGTTGTGGGCGTGGTCTGATTGGCCTCGTCCCTGACTCCCACCCCACCCCGCCCCAGGCATGACCGGGATCCTACTGTGCGCCGCGGGCCTGCCAGTGTGCCTCACGCGTGCCCCAAAGCCCATCCTGCACCCGCCACCTGTGAGCAAAAGCGATGTCAAGCCGGTGCCCGGTGTGCCCGGTGTGTGCCGCAAGACCAAGAAGAAACACCTCAAGAAGAGTACGCCCTCCACCACCCTCGCAGCCCTGAACCCCAGTGTGCGCTTAGGCCTTGCCACCTCTCCTGCAACCCCTCAAATCCCCCTTCCCCCAGCTCATCCTCTGCTCACTCTACTGCGGTAACCTCCTGACCCCTGACCCCATCCGAGCCACGCCCTCCGAAGTAGACCCTGGGGGCCTCACACCTGTGCTCTTACCTGTGTCCCTGCAGGTAAGAATCCCGAGGATGTGGTCCGAAGGTACATGCAGAAGGTGAAAAACCCCCCTGACGAGGTGAGTCTCTGGGGAAGAGTCCAGATCCGGGACCCCTGCCTTCATCAGCCCTTCAGACCCCTCCCAAGGACCCCGCATTTGCTTTAGGAGGTCTCCAGCTTAAGTTTAATAGAAGCACATTTATCAACCTTTTTTTTTTTTCTTTTTGAGTTACTGGGGATTGAACCCAGGGCCTTGGAACTAAGCAAGCTACATACATTCTCAACCCTTTTTATCTTGAGATAAGTCATCGAATTGCCCAGGCTAGACTCCTGCCTCAGCCTCCCAGAGTGCTGGGATCACAGGCACGAACCACCACAATGGGCTTCATTTAACAATCTCTTGATGATCGACAGCTTCGTGTCACATTGTCATCCATACTTTCCGCTGCATGCTTTTAGGTTTTGCTTTGGACTTCAGCCTTCGTCCCTCTGGAGGAGGGGGTGTGAGGAAGCGGTCTCTTCCTGCTGGGTACCCGAGGGCATCCTCCCTTTGCAACACGGGTGCCACAGGGGGGTGGTCTGCTGTGCTGCCTGAGGGGCCCTGTGCCAACCGGGGCGGTGTCCCCTCCGTCCTGCAGGACTGCACCATCTGCATGGAGCGGCTGGTCACGGCGTCGGGCTACGAGGGCGTCCTGCGCCAGAAGGGC